TGGTCTGACTGGGCCTGTACATATCCGAACCTTTCAAGGGCTTGTCCAAATCTATCAAACCAAGCTCTGGGGGACTGTTTTAGTCCATACAAGGCTTTATTCAACCGGCAAACCTTCTTTCCTGTCTGTACCATAAAATCCAGGAGGCAACTGCATGTAAACCTCTTCTTGCAAATCTCTATTGAGGAAGGCATTTTTAACATCCATCTGATACAACGGCCAAGAGTAACTGGCTGCAAGAGATAATAAGACTCTGAGAGTGGTCATCTTTGCTACTAGTGCAAAAGTTTTCAAGTAGTCAATACCATATGTCTGAGTAAATCCTTTTGCAACTAACCGGGCTTTATACCTTTCAATAGAACCATCAGCATTATGTTTCACAGTGAATACCCATCTACATCCAACCGGTTTCTTACCTTTAGGCTGATCAACTATCTCCCAAGTATTGTTTTTGATGAGGGCATCCATTTCTACTTTTATTGCATCTTTCCATTCTGGTACTTCCAATGCTTCCTGTATTGTTCTGGGAATGGGAACATTGGCAATGAATGCGAGAAAAGACTTATAGGAGGGAGACAAATGATCGTAGGACAAGAACTGAGAAATGTTGTGAACTGTAGATGTGGTGCAACGACGCTTGCCCTTACGAAATACTATGGGAAAATCAAGATCATCTAATGAAGGTGAAGGCTCCATGGTGGGATGTCTTTCATCTGTAGTATCTATAGTACCTGGATCAGGCTCTACAGAAGGAACTGGGACTACTGTGGTACCGGGATCTTGATCTGCAAAGGAGATTGGGGCTGGCCTACACTGTTGATGTCCAAAATCAACCTATCTCCATCGTCTTGATAGACTCTCACATCCCTGCATCTCTGACAACCCCCCCCCCATTACATCCCTCTTCACTTAATGGGATAGGGTACATCTTCAAAGAAAGTGACATCCATTGAGACAAATCTTTTCCCAGAAGTAGGTTCATATCAGCAATATCCCTTAGGATCAAACTTGGAACGATGAGGGCCAAGAATCTGAACAAAGCATATACAACCAAAGGTTTTAAGGGGAATGGTAAATAACTCTTTATCAGAATATAAAAAGGTAAATGGAGATTTCATGTCAAGAACCCGTGAAGGAATCCTATTGATGAGATACACTGCTGTAAGAACAGCATCCCCCCAGAAACGTATAGGCACATTGGAGGTAAACATAATGCTTCTGGCTACCTCCAATATGTGTCTATTCTTTCTCTCAGCAACCCCATTTTGCTGTGGTGTATGAGGACAGGTACTCTGATGGATAATCCCATGTTCAAGCAAATAGGAGACTAATGGGCTTGCAAAATATTCTTTCGCATTATCAGATCTAAAAATTTTGATTTTGACCCTAAATTGGGTAAAATCATCTGATGAAATATTCGGGTTAATGCTACCTCATCTCGAGAACGCATGAGATAAATCCATGAAAAACGAGTATAATCATCAACAATAGTAGGAAATATCTGTACCCCCCCCATGGCAATGGTACGGTAAGGTCCCCAAACATCAGTATGCACAATTTCAAAGGGAATACTACTTCTATTATTACTTAATGAATAGGGTGTCCTGCAGTGTTTTGCAAGTTCACAACTCTCACATTTCAAACTAGACATCTGGATAGATTCAAATAAACTAGGAAACAAAMTCTTCAAAGCCCGAAAAGATAAATGACCCATCCTATTATGCCAAAGCATAGCCTGATCAACAGACTGAGAAACACAAGACCTCTTAGTCTCACTATCTTCCCAATGAGGACTCCCTCCAAGAAGATAGACTCCATTTGCCTCACGGCCAGTCCCAATCACCTTCCTTGTCTCCAGATCCTAAAAAACACATCGATCCAAAAAAAAGGTTACTAAACAAATCTGGTTTTTTGTAATGCTACTAACTGAAAACAAGTTAGTACTAAGCTTAGGAACATGCAAAACCAAAGATAAGGAAATAGCATTAGACAACTTGATGTCTCCCTTGCCAGAAATAGGAACGAGGGAGTCATCAGCAATGGACACTTTGTCTCTGCCTGAAAATAAGTGATAGGTAGTAAATAGTGACGGCAAGCCAGTCATATGGTCAGATGCTCTAGAATCTATTATCCATGAATGTTCTGTATTACCTGTAACTGAGGCATGGTGAGCCGAGGCCCGATTACCTGAATGAGCAAAATATGAGGTAGGGGGTGCTGATGGTGTGTGAGGAGGTGGAGCTGAATTACCGACTTCATTTTCCAGCTGAACTAGAGCAGCTTGGGCAGTAGCTAAAGTATCTAGAGGATTGCCTCTTGTGCTAGATGAGGTTGTACTATCAGTGTTAACAGCCATATTTTCATTCCCCTTTTTATTTCTGAGTTTTGTTGGAACTAGATGTGGATGTAACTTCCAACAGGTCTCTTTAGTATGTTTAGGTTTCTTGCAATGCTCACATACTAGGTCCTTCTTAGCTTCCTTCTTCGCGACTCTTTCCTTATCACTCCCAGATTTGGACTTAACTGCTGCCCGAGCTGATTCAAAAGGCTATTGTTGTAGCATAACTTTTCTCCTAGTCTCTTCGCTGTGCAATAAGGAATAGGCCTGGGACAAAGTTACACCGTCTCTTGTCAACAGTTGCTGCCTCACAATACCATATTCCGAATTTAGACCAACCAGAAATTCAAACACTCTATTAGTTTCAATCTGCTTTCTATAAATCTGTGCATCCTTCTGACTTTCCCATTCAATTGATTCAAGGTGGTCAATTTCATGCCACAAGGATTTCAAGATTGAAAAATAAACAAAAACTTGTTTCTCACCTTGCTTGAGATTTTTAACCTCACATTTCAACTCATAAGCCCTAGCAACATTAAGGGGATGAGAGTAGGTATCTTTCACAACATCCCATATTTCTTTAGCTGTTTTTGCCCATAAGTAATTTCGGCTGATGTGTGGCTACATGGAATTACACAGCCATGTCATCACTAAATAATTTTCCTGAATCCACTTAGCATAAGTGGGACCCTCCTTATTTGGTTCCTTCACATCTCCCAACAAATAGTTCAATTTTCCTCTTCCCCCAATGGCCATCATGGCTAATTGGGCCCACTCTAAGTAGTTTGAACCATCAAACTTTATAGTTATAATCTGGAAGGTGTTTTCAGTTATGCCACCTGAACCAATCCCAAAAACACCCTCCCCTTGGTGCTTGAACTCCATTCTTGGTTAGGGGTTAAGCAAAAAACACCTATCTACTCTAACAATCAGTCTACTGGGTTTGAAAAAACT